CCACTCAGGATGGGAGATGCATGCTGAAAGTAGAGTATAGACCGAACATGATGACCACTCAATACCTATATTGCAAGCCATCACATCCAAAAGGAGAGAGGAGGCAAAATTGAATGTCCTGCCACAGAGGCGGGGTAGTGTGGAAGGGGATAGGGTAGAGGTAGTGGGAGGGATACTGGGATCACTGGTAGTGGAGAATGCCACTGGTGGAGGGATGGGTACTCGATCATTGTATGACTGAAAAGTAAGCACGAAAGTTTGTAGGTCTATAACTGTACCTCACAGTGATTTGTTAAAAAATAAAAGAAATTTTTTTTAAAATGCACAAGGAGAGCACTACCAGAGACACTGCTATGAGTGATCCTCGGTCAACTCCAGGCACCACAAGAAAGGTTAGGAGGGTAAAAAGGAAAAAGAAAAAAAAGGGTGGAAAGTAAAGAAGAAAAAGAATTCTAGTTTTATCGAAGATCCAGAAGAATTTTATGAGAGATGTAACAGTCTTATTTGTATACAAAAAGATTATTTGGGGGCCAGAGAGAGAATTGTGGGTAGAGCACTTGCCTTACATGGATTTATTACACATTAGTGTGAATAAAATTCTTGTCTTTGAGCTTTCAGAAAAATAAATAAATAAATAAATACATAAAAAGCATGACTTTTGGTATCAAAAAATAAAAGTGTTCCTCTGTTCTGTTAGGAGGCACTCTTTTTCTTCAAAAGATATTTATAATACAAACATTGTGGAAAAGAAAGTCCAGGACAGAAGTTGCTAATGCCTCTGCACTCAAGACATACAAAAATGTAGCACCTTGAAGGAGAACTGCCTCCTGGGTTGCTCCTGTATTTTTCCCACTACTGGCACAGAAGATTGTCCCTGGGCTTAGAGAAATAGTGCAGTGCTAAGGTACTCCTTGCATGCAACCAACCCAGTTTCAATTCCTGGTATCCCAAATGGCTCTGAGCACTACCACCAGTGATCCCTGAATGCAGAGCTAGGAGCAAACCCTAAGTACTGCTGGGGGTACCTCAAAAACAAAAATGAAACAAAAAACAAGACTATCCTCTCAAAAACAACCAATGATTGGGGCCAATGAGAAACTACAGAAAGTTAGGGTGGTTTCCTTGCACACAGCTGGCCAGGTTTCTATCTTCAGCACCCCATGTGGTCCCAGGAAAACTGTCAAGAGTGACCTCTTAATACAGAGCCAGCAGTAAGCCCTGTGCACAGCTGAGTATGGCCCACAAAGGGGAGGGGGAAAGATCAATTATCTAATTGCATGGTTCATGTCCTTCTAAAAATCTAGAGGGAACATTAAAATTCAAGAAACATGCATTAGGCACCTACTAAAAAAGTCACTGCGTACACTAAAATAGACATGCATCCTTTTTCTCATAAGGAAATAACAGACATAAACCTGGTATTCAAACCCATGAAAACATTCCAGGCTGTGTTTAGTCATTGGAGGGAAAGGTACATGGGGGTTGGAGAGTTCACATCAACGAGGGATCAAGAATTTGTCTGGGAAGTTAGAAATGCCTTTCCTTCCTCAGATAAAAGATAAGATGGTTAAAAGAGAAAATGCCATGTGCAAAGAACCACACAGTTGAGAAATGAAAATAAGTCTTTCGCACAGGAAGCAAGGGAAGATTGTATGATACGAGACTGGAAAAGGCAAGACCTTGCATGCTCTTGTATGCCACTATAATAATTCTAGTGTTGGGGCCAGAGAGACAATTCAGGGCCCAGAAGTACATGCCTAGCCTATGCAAGGGTCTGAGTTTGAACCTGGCACTTTAAGCCTTCCCCTAAAACACAGGACCTAGGTGTGACCCTGGAGGTCTGCAGCACCGCCAATGGGGCCGCAGTGCTGTGAGCAATCCTCGGTCAACTCCAGGCACCACTTGAAAGGTTCAGGAGGAAAAAAGGAAAAAGGGAAAAATAGGGGGAAAGGTAAAAAAGAAAAAGAATTCTAGCTTTATCAAAGATCCTGAAGTTAAGAAATTCATGAGAGATGCCAACAGTCTTATTCAGATATCAAAAGATTATTTGGGGGCCAGAGAGAGAATTGTGGGTAGAGCATTTGCCTTACATGTAGCCTTCCTTGCCTTACAAACATTGAGCCCTGGTTCAATCCTTAGCACCACATGTGGTCCCTGGGCCTGTCAGGAGTGATCCTTAAGCACAGAGTCAAGAGTAAACTCTGAGTATTGCTGAGTGTGGCCCCAAAATCCAACACTTAAGGCTGCAAGTGGTAGATGAGTGGAGAGGTCCAGATTATATGCAATGAGACCAAATTATATTAGCAGAAATTGGAAAGTATAGACTGATTTGAGAGATTTGGGAAGATGAGCTTGCCAGGGCTTAGTACCATGATGACTATGGGAATAAGGGTGAAGGAAGTAACAGAGAAGGTCACTACATATTTTGATTTGGTTACTACAAGCCTAATTGAGAAGAAAGATAAGAAACATTCATGAATTCAGTTAGACTAAACTTTTTTTAGTTGTAACTTTGAGACATTCGGCAGACATATCAATTAGGACACTGGAACTTAAGGGAAATATCTGGGCAAGAGACACATGTAAAAATCATCTAAACAACTAAAGTCATTGGTATGGGTGATTTTAGGGCAAGAGATTATAATGAAAAGAGAAAAGAACCAAAACGGAATTGTGAGGCACTTCTCAATTTAATAGCTAGGGAGAAGCATTGTGCAAAGGAGAGACACTGTACCCAGAAATGCAGGAAAGAATATATAAAAGAATATATAAAAGCTGAAAGAATATATAAAAGTCCTACCTTATTCAGTTTTACTTGCCATGGTTTGTTACCTGTGATCAATTGCTGTCTGAAAATATTATGCACAATAATATTTTTTGAAAAAGATCCCTTGCCTATATGTTTTTACCACAGTATGTTGCTATATTCTTTGTTGTTAATCGGTCCCTATTCATTTTCTTAAATTAAAATTTATGTATAAATAAGAAAAAATAGTATTGTAGGATGGGTACAATTCATAGTTTCAAGCATCCTCGGGGATTCTCAGGCCTCTGTGGAAAAGAGGGAATTACTGTGGTGCCAAAGGATGAAGGAATAGCCAAGGAAGACTAAGTCATCATAGTATTGAGATTGCGCGGGAAAAATGAGGATAGAAAATAACCCTTATTTTATCAATAAAAAAATACTGGGTAATGACTTGTTGAGAGCCGGTATAAATTCTTGTCCTTCCATGGATGCCCAGAGAACTCATACTGGTGCCTGTGCTAGGGTTATTTGTGGTTTTATTTTTTCCAAGTACAAAAGTTCCCCAGACCTCACCTGACTCAATTGTACCACAACACAAGTTGTTGATTCTAATTTTCATGTCTACTTAAATTATATCCTTTTATTATACCTTAGCTTCCTTTTAAAAATAAAACTATTGTTCCTTGTTATATCTATACAAGTGGGTATGTTGTGCCTATATAATTAGATATGTCCCAAACATAATTTCAAACATTTGCCGTTTTTGTGGGCTTCCCCCCCCACATTAACAAAGGAATCAACGCCTTGAAGTCCAGATTTCCTGATTCTATCCTTTAAAAAAAAATTAGATGTAAAACTCTGGATATTTCTAGTTCAAGGTAAGATTTGGAAATCATGTCATCTCAGACCAAACAGAACTAGGACAGCAATGTGGAGAAGCCAGGTAACTTCTACTATCCAATGATATAGCCTCGAATTTTAAAACAATATATACTTGTGTTTCCGTTATTCATAGATCAGTTTTCTAGCAATGTTGTGTGGAAGAAGGCCAAACAGTAAGTCAAGAAAATGAAAGACCACTCCCACGGAGAGAACTTTTTGGTAAAAAAAAAACAATGAAAACATTTCACCTTTTCAACTGATTGAGCGTTGCTGTCTTATTTACTGATGGGAAGAAAAGGAATCTTGCTATTATTTGGATATAAAATCCTATTCAGTCTTCACCTGGGGTCATGCAGAAAAGCAGTGGATAAAGGGGAAGAATAAAATATAAGCTAAGAAGAAACGACTACAGGAAGATTGACCAAGGATGAAGAGCTGAGGCTGATAAGGAAGTGAGAGGCAGAGAGAGATGAAAGTAGGAAGGAGAGAGAGAGAGAGAGAGAGAGAGAGAGAGAGAGAGAGAGAGAGAGAGACAGAGACAGAGACAGAGACAGAGACAGAGACAGAGAGAGAATATGAATGACTCTAAATGAATCCTATATGCTTCTGCAACTCCCTGGAACTTCAGTGATGCCTAAGGGTCATTTTAGAAGGCCACGTATGCACAAAGAATTTCAGTAACTATTGTATTCTTGAAGAGTGCAGGTAATAGGTAACATTTTAAAGAGATTTCCGTAAAAAAAAAAAAAAAACAGTTCCAAAGAAAATGCAGTTCTAAAAGACCGCTGAAATAAAGCCAGCACAAGGAACCTGGCTGCATCCACCCCGGTTCTTGAAAGCCTGATTCCTGGGGTCGCACTGCCGTGCCCAGGACACCCCACAGTGCCCCAACTCTTGAGGGGGGGGCTCTGCGCGTGGGCGCGTGGGCGCGGAAGTGCGCGGCGGGCAGCCCCCTGGCATCCCTGCAGCGCCCCCCATCGCCCGAGATTGGAGGTCCAGGCGGCCGCGCACACTCGCCAGCCTTCGAGCTGCGGGGCGCCGAAAGGTAAGGGGGTTCTCCGCGGTCGGAAGGGGTGGAGGCGGGGAGGGGGGGGTGAGGCCGGGGCACCCACTCCACCTTGCCCCTTAGAGTCCGGCTCCCACTGCTCCTGCCTCCGAGCGACGCCCCCCACCCCCGGACTCCCCCGCCTGCGGGCTCGGCTTCCCCGGCGGCGCGGCGCGGGGGGAAGGTGCGGGGGGGAGTGTCTCTCCGAGCACCTGTTGGCGTGAAGTTCTGGGGCGCGCGGAGAGCGCCGGGACTCCAGGGCGGCCTTCCCCATCCCGGGGCGGGCACTCGCGTGAGTGGGCCCCGGCACAGCTGCGAGCCCCCAGTTTATTTGGGGGCTCTGTTTCCCCGCGGGGGGGTGGGTAGTGGTGCGGAGGGGAGGGGCGGGGCGGGGAAGAGGGAGCGGCTCGCCCCGGAGCAGCCCCAGTAGCCGCGGCCCGAGCCCCGGCAGCGCGAGCCGGGCACCCGGGTCCGGGGGCCGCGGGGCCGGGTCGCCGCGGGGCGCGGGCGGGGGCGTGCGGGGCCGCGGCCCGGGGCGCCGTCGGCGGGGCTCGCGCAGCCGTACTGGGGCGCGCCGGCCGCGACTCCTCCCCCTTCCCCTCCTCCTCCGCCTCCCCCCGGCTCCGGAGCAAGCATGGCGGCGGCGGCGGCGTTCGAGGTCCCTCGGGGGAAACAGAAAGCGCGAGCTCCGCGGAGAGGGAGCGAGGAGCGGGGCTGAGGCGGCGCCGTCACCACCGGGAGAGCCCCCTCCCACCGCCCGCGCCCCCGGCGGCCGCGGCGGCGCCCCCTCCCTGTGCCGCCCCGCCCCGCCGCCCCTGCACGTCCCCCCGGCACCACCCCCGGGAACTGCCGCCGAGGCGGAGCGCGCCGCGGGTCCGGAACCCGCAGCGAAGAGGCGCCGGGGTGGCCGCCCCTGGTCGGCCGGAGCGCGGCGCGGCGCGGCCCGGAGGTGAGCCCGGCGCCCCCGCCCCCGCCCCCGGCCCGCCGGGCCGCGGGGCCGCAGAAACCGTTAGGCAGGTGGCGCGGAGTCGGCGCCGTGCGGGGCTCGGGCCCGTCGGGGGGAGCCGCCCGCCGGGGCCCGGGGGCGCGCGGCGGGCCGAGGTGCCGCGGGCCGGACCCTGGCCGCGAGGGGTGGGCCGGGGGGCACCTGCCGGGCGGGCGCGGCGCCCGGGCGGCACTTTCGGGGGCGCGGCGGGCCCGGACGGAAGGAGCCGGCGCGGGGCGCGGGCGGCTCTCCCCGCCCCCTGAGCGGGTCCGCGGCGGCGCCGAGAGCTGGGGCCCCTGGACGCTCCGGGGGGCGGGGGCGGCAGGCTCGGCCCCCGGGGCGGTGGCGCCGAACTTGAACCCTTTTTTCCTCCTTTTTTCCTGAAGCGGCTCCCGCGCCCGGCCGCCGCCGGGGGTGGGACGCGGGACGGGGCGTGAAAAACCTCGAAAGCCCTCTGGGCGGGCGAGCCGCAGCGACCTGTGGGGCCAGTGCCGGTCCCTGGCGGACCCGCGGTGCCGGCCCGGGGAGCACCACCTGTTCGGGCGGCGGGAGCACCCGGCCGGCTTCTCGGGAACTTCCTGCCGCGGCCGCGGGAGGACGTCACGCGTGAGGTAAAGGCCAGCGGCGCGGGAGCTCGGGGCGCCAGTCCGCGGGGCCGCGGGGGTGGCTGTGCGACCGTCGCGCCCGCTCCCCGCCCCGCGCGCCGCGAAGGAAGCTGGTGGCGGTCCCGGCTCTGGGGTAATGGGGGGCGGGTCGGGAGGTGAAGTGGGTGCAGGTGGGTGGGGGGCGCGGACGCGGGCCCCGGGCCCCGGAGACTCTTGCGCTGCGCGATCGCGGGCTTCCCGGTGGCCCCCCGCGTCGCCGCAGCGCCCGCCCAGGTGTTTGCTCGCCGCCCCCCCGAAGGGTCCGTTCGTTCGTCGTGGCCGTCGCGGAGCAACTCTGCGGGGCGGAAACGTCCGGGGTCCGCGCCGCTCCCGATCTCCGCCGTCCCCGGAACCGCGGTGTTGGGGGGCTCGAGAGCCGAGTGTTGGGGAGGGGTGCGGTGTGCGTTTCCCGGGGCAGAGGCGGGGCCGTGGAGCCGCGCCGGGCCGCGTCCGGGGCTCGGGAGTCGGAGCCATATGTTAGGCTGCCTCGGGAGGGGTCGAGTCCGCGCTCGCCGGGGCGCTCGCTGGCTCCTACCTTCGTAAGTTTTTCTGTTTTCTTTTCTTCCTTTTATTTTTTCTATCCCCCCCCCCCCCCCCAGTAGTCAGAAATCGCCGGCGAGGAACGAGTTTCCTAACTGGACCACAGCCGCAGGGCTCATGTTCCCAGTTGAGTTGGCTTTCTCGAGTCTGGGGACCTCGGAGACAGATGGGTAGGCTGGACAGGAAATAGTGATTAAAAAAGGTCTTTTTTTTTTTAACGCCCTATAGTTTATAGCCACAGATCCCGAATTTTCGCTTTCAGCTTTTTCCCACGGATTATGCCTTGCCATCACCGACAACTTCAGTTAGGAAAGAAGGGACTTGGGGGAGGGGGTGATCTTGTTAAAATTTTAATAATTCGAAATTGAAAAAAATTTCAGCACTGACATGGGACTACGTAGATTTTTGCCCTGTTTCTTCTTTGCCTTCCGGTACCATCTCTCAGTTTTCTTCTTGTCGGTTTGCTGTAGGATTTTTCTTCCAGTCTGCTTACTGTTCAGCCACCTGTATGCTTTTCTGGTTTAACTCCTTCTTTTCCTTTTGTCTGAATTCTCAGAATCATTGAATGTTCAGGCAAAACGAACTCCCAGTCTCAGACACAGTGTGATTGTAAAGGTAACTTGCCCCTCAGATGAATGATATTCATTAGAAATAAGTAGATTCTAGGATTATCTATCTTTTGGAGTCATCTATAGAGGTTGATTGATTTTTAGTCTACTATGCATTTAATAATTTTACCTTTTTAAATTTTACATCATATATAAGCACATTTTATTATTAATTAAGGATCAAGTTCTCCAGCCTGACTAGTGAAACATAGGCCAGGACTGAGAGACTGTAAACCCAGGAAAAAATGACAGTCACGATTACTGTTCTCATTGTCTTTTATTTTCTTTGGTAAAGAGCTTTAATTGTAAATTGCTCCTTTTAAATGTAGTTGCATGGGTAATTTATGTGTGTTTTAAACAACTATCATGTAGTTATTTCATAATTCTCAGGCATGTGTATGTTTGGAGATTTGTTTTCCCTTTCAGATGTTCTTGATCCATTTTTGTGAATGAGTCTGTCTCTGTGGCCAATGACTTCAAGATACACATGTGGTTTCCCATAAGTTAATTCAAAGATTAATGATTTTTGCCTATCAGCAATCTCTTGAAGACTTCAAGTAAATCCATAATATTGTAAAAATGAATATATTCCTTTGAGCTTTTTTAGTACTTCCATTTATCCCATTAGCTAGAAGAAAAATGGCCACATCACTGTCAAGTTGCTTTTTTTTTTTTAGAGGGAATTTATTGGCCAATCCTGTTGGAAGGCAGTTTTTTTGCAAAGTAGCCCTTGGTCCTCTATTAAGATCCTTTGTTCGTATCATCTTTTGATATTTCCAGTCTTTCATCACCTGTTACTAGTCCGCATGCTGGTTTTTTTTTTCTCTCCATGTTAGGTGTGTTGAGGAAATGACAAGTGCTTAGAGGATAAACTATTATTAAAGTGGAAATACAAAAGCAGTGCTATGCGTTTATTTCTTCATGTGTTTGACAAACTGGCTGGAGATAACTATTCCAATAAGTTGTTAGAAAAAAAATGTAAGGTAATATTATTAAACTTTTGTGGTGTCAAATGTAATTTAAACAAGTATAAAGCCAGTGAGTGCTAAAGGCATTTGGAAGAAGTCAGACTTGAAGTGTAGGAAGGATTTAGATTGTAAAAGGAAAGCTGTTTCAAAAAAGACAGGCAGCCAAGGCTGGAAGATATAGCAAGGAGACGAGATAAGAACACATATTAGGAGAAGAAAGATGAGAGGGGTAGGGTTTTTTATTTTTGGCTAAATTCCAGAATATGGTCAAAAGAGGATTAGGAAAGTCTGGACAAAAGTTTGGCTCTAACATTTTTGAACCTATCACTGAAAGAACTATACATCTACTTTGATATATTAGTAATCTAAGTTTTATAAGAAATAGCATATATGTATATATATATCCTATATGTTTGTTGTTATAACATTTTGAGGGTCAACACTTTCTGTAGAGTGCTAGAGAATGGTTTAAGTCTTGCAGTCTCCTAATAGTGTCTTGAATAGATTTTTGTTCTTTGTATAATATGTTAAAAATAGAAAATTTTTAGCTCAAGGGCCAAACAAAATAAGCTATTTTCTGCATTTGGCTAACACAGTTTGCTCACTCTTGGCTCTTAATTGGTTAGGTTGTCTAGTAGAATAACAAAAAACGCTACATCTAGGTATACATGGTTGTTTGGTGTGTTTGACTGACATTTCTGTTTCTTCTTTTAAAACAATCTGTTAGTTGAGGTACTATGATTTACAAAGTCATTCATGATTGAGCTTCAGGCATATACTTTTTTAGGACCTGTCCTTTCGCCAGTGTCTGTTTCCCCCCACCAGTGTCCCCAGTCCTTCCCATCACCCAACCTCCTCTTTGGCAGGCACCGTTTTATTTATTTTCTTCTCCCTTTAGGCACTGTGTTTTATAATTTTCCTTATTGGGTAGAAGAAGGAACTGAGATATGCAGAAATTGCGGCAACTGTAATTGTTTTGTGGCCCAACTACAACATAAGCGTCAACCTAGACTAGCTCTTCAAAGGAACAAGTCTTTGAGGCAGGCCTTAGAGCCCTGAAAATAGCTGCAAGCAGCTTCATTTAGAATCTATAGAAGTTGAAGTACATCAGCTGCCTGTTTCAGTTTTTACATATATTAGAATTGACACCTAAGAATCTAAGCTAGGGCTCTGGTGAGCTCAGGGATCTCATGGGAGCAGGCCGTAGGATACCTTGTTTTCAGCATGAGCCTAGGATGAATTCGTGAAGAAACAAGCCATGTCCTTTCCTCGGTTACTTCAGAAAGAGCACTGTGGTGTAGTGTACAGTCTAATAATTGGTGCTTTACATTGGTGAACTTGGGTCATCAAGAGGTTTCATTGTATGCAGATTAAGACAGAAGACTTTGAAATAAATATATTTCCATTGATATTATTTAAAGATAAGGTGAATTCATAATGAGTTATTTTGAAAATTCATTTACATGTGACGCATCTCTTTAAAGTTTTTAAATTTATAGCTGTGTATATCTTTTTTGTTTTGTTTTGTGGGTCGCATCTAACAGTGCTCAAGGAGCCATACAGAATCTGTCTTACCTGCTGAACTCTCCTCCAGTCCCTATCACTGCGTATTTCTAAGACAGTTCTATCTTGAACACATTGGATTTCCTGTGCCTACCATTAACCAAGTGAATAGCCGTACTTCAGGTAATGGCTAAATGAATCAATTGGATAGGGTTACTTTATATTTTGTGTCATCAGGAGAGCAAGAGCAGAGTATAAAACTAAGCATATTTTATGTATACCAGATGCTAGAATGTAAGATTGAGAATTGATTGAATAAAATCAGGGATTCCTCCCCTCTCCTCCTTAAAAACATTAAAATTGGGCCAGAGATATAGTAGAGTAGGTCCCCTAGTACCACCAAGAGTGATCCCTGAGTACAGAGCCAGCCTGAACATTGACTTTAGTGTGGCCCCAAAACACAGGGAAAAGCAAATATTAAAACAACTAAAAATGAAAACCACAACCCCAGTTAACTAAATGTATATATTGTTTTTTAAAGGTACTACAACAGATTAAATTTTAGCCTTTCTAAATTCTTAATAAAACTTTGGCTTTTTGAATTTTGCTTTCCTAATAAAACTTTGGTTTTTGAATTTTGCTTTAAGAAGTTACTAATTTGATCTCCCACATCTCTTTTGACAGTGCTTTAAATAATTGTGTCATTCCAGCAGTTTCTATTGCTTGGATAGAAGATAAAGTACATTGAATCTTAATTCCATCACCACCCAGTTAGCCATACGATCTTAGCTTAAAGTTTTCCAGTTTCAGGGATCCTAGTCCTTAAATGGAGAATAATATCTACCCTGTTATTCCCCATAGAAATACTGTGAGTACCCAGAGATGTAGGAAACTATGAAAAAAAGTATATAAAGTAAAAAGCGGGGGGAAAAGAAAAGGTATATAAAATATGCTATTTAAGTGCTTACATGACTGCAAATTCACTAATTTGGTAGTCTACTTAATTAGGGCTGGAGCAATAGCACAGCAGGTAGGGCGTTTGCCTTGCATGAGGCCAACCTGGGTTTGATTCCTCCATCCCTCTCAGAGAGCCTGACAAGCTACTGAGAGTATCCCACCCGCACGACAGAGCCTGGCAAGCTCCCCGTGGTGTATTCGATATGCCAGAAACAGTAACAATAAGTCTCACAATGGAGACGTTACTGGTGCCCACTTGAACAAATTGATGAACAACCGGAGGACAGTGCTGCAGCGCTATATGTCTGCTACTATACTGGGGAAAATAAAAACCTTGTTTTTTGTAAGACCTAAAATCGAATTAACTTTCATCCTCCAAGGCCTTGTAAATACATTGTGCTTCCAATAAACATTTAGAGTTTACTCAAAAGTTTTAACTGCTTTCTTGGCAAAGAGACTACATATAAAAGTTTTCTTCTCATTCTTGCAAAACTTTCAGTGCAGCCCATACCCAATACTTCTCTTCCTTTATTGTAGGGTACTCGGAGAGCCCGGCAAGCTACCGAGAGTATTCGATATGCCAAACACAGTAACAACAAAGTCTCCAATGGAGACGTTACTGGGCCCGCTCGAACAAATCGACGATCAACGGGAGGGCCTTTACCTTTACCTTTACCTATTGTAGGGTAATGCTGATCTTTCAGTCCAAGTGATTTCAGCTACTCTTTCCAAAGTGGATTAAAAATATGTGAAAATGATTTCCTTATTATTTTTCAAGTGTTATGACTGTTTCTGAATCTATCACATGAAGATCTACCTGTTGAACTTTCATTTTAGTTTAGTTCCTGTGCTTTTTAAATCTTTCACATAAGTGCCAGATGTGTGGTAGTATTCTCAT